TATTTAAAAGAGAGAGAAAAGTTACCTGTCATAAAATCTGAGAAAATAATTTTTCCTAAGAATGCCTGTTTATAATTTTATGTGAACATTAATAAATAATAATCTATTAAAGTAAAATGATGAAGAAATGTGGAGAAAGTCATCCATCCTTCTGTACCATCCTAGCCTCTGAAATGGGTGAATGACATGCCCTTCTCCCTGGCCATGTCTACGAAAACTACTTAGTGATTATTCAAAGGGCAATTATCTCTACAAATTTCCAAAGAAACTGGCTGAATGGATTAAACTGACCGTTATAATGAGAGGAACTTAATTAAATGAACTAGTGTGCAAAATATATAAACATACTTGTCTTTTATTCACAGCAGCTCTCCCACTCACTGCTATAAATACCTTACTAGCCCTTTTGGAGTTTGTGGACATGGATGTGCTGCCGTTTCCTCTGCTAATCTCTCATTGTTTGGGGGTCTGGCCAAGTGCCACAACGGAAAAGTTGCCATGCTCGTTGCTTTTTTACATGCAAGCTTTCTACAAAATAATTATTACTTCCTGTAGGGCTGAGGGACTAAATCTAACTTTAGCCATAGATTTACTCTTGTGGTCATATTTATACACATTTACTACTGACAATTAAATAAGAGGTTTCCCTCCATATGTGTTCATCTTAGGTAAAAGGAATACTTTTTTTTTTTCTCATCTGGCTCTCATGAGAACACAAGAATGATAAAAAGTCATCTTATTTGAGAATTGTTACTTTGCTAGATGACAGAACACTCATTCTCAAATTAATTTTGCTCAAAATGTTTCCCATATCGAAAGTAGCGACAACTTCTTGGGTATGGATCTTAGCCAGAAAAGTCTATGACTTTTCAAAATTATAATTGCCTCATTACATCAGAGTGTTCACATTTTAGTGGTGAAAGAAATGACTGTTTAGCTTGGAAGACTTTTTAGTCTAGGAAGATAAAAGCCTGGGTGAGGAGTGTGGGTGTGCGAGGGAGTAACAGTGGCCTTCAGAAGATGAAGTGTTAATGTAAAGAGGATGGAGACCAGCTGCTTTTCATCTCCACTGAGAGCAGACTAGAGGAAATGGGCCCACATATACCAGGAGAATCT